GAATCACCTCAACCAAGGCACTCATTAGGCTTTCAGAGAGGTTAATTGCTTTGCCTCGTTGCAGAGGACTTGCATAGGAATCATGGGTACATCTACATGAAGGATGCTCCCAGGATCACCTGCCACCAACATCTCAGGGTTTTCACCTGCAGACCCCCCGCAGCTCCTGAGCTGCCCCAACATTTCTGCCCAGCCCTCCCAGGCTCCTGGGCACATGGCAGCAGAAGTCTGAACAGGAGCCCATGGTGGAGAAGGACATGGCCAAGCTGCCTCTGACAGTTACTGACACTGCAAAAGTGCTGGAGGAAGAAAGTCATGTACCCACCCCCCAGGGCAGGGTCAGGAGGGAGACATGAGGAGGGGTGACAGGCACTGGACACTGGTGTCAGAGCTGAGACCTGGATGGGATGCTGGAATACCTTCTCCCTTCCATGGCAGCACACAAGGGGAGCAAGGGCTGCTGTTCCACAGATCCTCTCAACGCTGATGCTGCAGCCAAGGGCCAGTACCCTCCTCCAGCTCCTTGCCCCTAGAACAGCACAGAGCAGCCCCCACAGAGCCCACTCGGGTGGGAGCAGGGCTGCTGCCCACAGCACAGCAGCTACACCCACTACATCAAACACCTCTTCCAAAACCACGCCACAAAGCTACCTCGCATCAGTGGCAGCAACCCAGAGCCACCTAGGGCTTGTCCCTTCCCTGCAGAGCCAAGGAGGGACAGGGTAGTGAGAGCTGAAACAGCTGCCAAAACAGCCCCATCGCCCAGGGGCATTTCCCAGACAAGAGGCAGTGCCACCCCATGCACACTCCTGCCCTCTCCCCACCACTGCAGCCAATTAAACCCAGATGGTGCTGGGGAATATGCTGGGAAGCATCGATTGAGCTGCCAGCCCAACACACACCAAGGGGGCCCTTTGTCTCATTCAGCATGAGTAAAAAAAAAAAAAAAAAATAAGGATTTAAAAAAAAAAAAGCCAGCTTCATTTGTAATCTGGGATGCAGAGCGTGCACATAACCAGACAGAGGCTGCCAAGTCATAAAAAGCCACTGAGATCTGTTAGCAACACCCTGTGCGTTTTCAGCTTGTTCTGTTCTCTCCCTGCTTCCCATAAAACGGCACAAAGGCAGAGCTGCAGTAACAACACGCTCCAGCCCAAAAGGCTCCCCACGGTCTGCACTGCAGGTACGGATCCGAGGGAGCAGCAGGAAGCCCTCCCATCCTGCAGCTCCGTGAACCAGATCGTACCCTGCAAGGGAGACCTCACAGACTCGTGGCATCAGAGGCATTAACTCAAAACAGGAGATCACTTCTAATTACCTTTTTCTTTAGGATCACTGTCCTATGCTGTGGGCAGAGTGCATCTCTTCCCTGGGACACTGAAACCTGCCACCCATCACTCAGGTACTCCAGTGCTGAATTACAGCATCCCACCTTCACACTGTACCACCATCCTGGTGATTTCCCTCCAGTCTCCTCTGCTCCCGTGCTCCCTGCCTGGCATCCAGGAATCAGGCTTTTCCACGCATCCTTGTTGCAGTTATCATTCCAAAATGAGAGCAGAGCTTGCATTCCCCAAATATCATAAGCTAAGCTTAACAAATTCCCATGCACGCTTGGTTTGTGGCCGTGCAAAAGCAGGTTTGGGTCCTGTCCGCTTCCAATTCAGCTTGAAGGTTCTCTGGGATGTTCCCTGTGTGGCTCTGCCTGTCCTTAGCATCAGCTAAGGAAGCAACTGCTCAGCCCAGAGAAGCCACAGGAGGTTCCCCGTTTGCTTGTTTTGACGAGGAGCTTCTCTTTTGAGCTATCTCTAAGCCAAACATCACCCAAATGATGCTGCCAGACATACAGAGCAAAGACAGCAGCGATTCAGCCACGACCACTCCATGCAGCAGCACACCCAGCCTTGGAGCATGGCAGACCTCTTCCCATACTTCCATCCCAGCACCTAAACCGAGGGATGGAGGGTGAGGCGTCAGGCTGGGACTCTGGAAAACAGGGTTTAGCGTTTGCCTTAGGCTTAAATCCCTCAGACAAGAACCAGGTGAGCTGGTACATGCACCTTTCACCATAAAGTTAAAGCCTTCCACAGAGCCACTGCTCCACAGGCACTTAGTGTTTGCTGTTCTCTGCCTCAGCTTACTCATGGAAAAAAAATAAAAAAAATTAAAAAAAAAAAAAGAGAATTTTATCCTTCCTATTCTTATTCCACTTATGGGGTTGTTTCGCTGGGAAAAGGCAGCAGAGGTGGAGTCTTGGTAAGGGTTGGACCTGCCAATGCTAGTAGAAAAAAAACCTTTGCTTCTCTTCCCTCACTGCAACCCAGATCAAGAGCAGCTAAACACCAACATCTGGCTGCACACCAGGAATACCACATCTGCAAAGGCAGAGAGCTAATCCAGGGGAGCAGAGGTCTCGTGCAGCAGCAGAGAGGCACATGTTGCACTCTCTCCCTGTGCCCACCACACCACAGACCACCCAACCAGAGCTGGCAAATGGGAGTACAAGGAGACCTCCTGCAAATATCCAGCCATTTTCCACATTCTTCATGTTCCATTTAATGTCCACTGCCAGTGGGGAAAACACCCCCCCTCCCATTGCTCAGCAGAGCCAGACCGCCCAGGCGAGAGCCCCCAGGGTGATTCAAGGCATGTGAGATGAGCCCTTCTGAAAATTAAATCACAAGAAAATTGCATTATTACTAATAAAATTACGCACAAGGAAATTAATTTGCCTTTTCTCCCCCACATGCTATCCATCTTTTCCCAGAGAGCATCCATGGTGCTAAGGTTACGGGCTCTGCACACCAGTCTGGGCTTTGGCAAAGCTTTTGGGGAAAAGCCTCACTGGTTTATCCTAGAAAGACTGGTTTGGGTTGGAAGGGACCATAAAGACCATCTCATTCCAATCCCTGCCACGGGTTGGGACACCTTCCGTCAGACCAGGTTGCTCAGAGCCCCGTCCAACCTAGTTTTGGACACTTCCAGGGATGGGGCAGCCACAGCTTCTCTGAGCAACTTGTGCCAGGGCCTCACCACCCTCACAGGGAAGAATTTTTCCTAATCTTAAACCCGTTCACTTTCAGTTTAAAGCCATTCTCCCTTGTTCTGTCACTACATGCCTTTAATCAAAAGTCCCTCTCCTGGCGTTTATGAGTCTGATGTTAAAGCAGGAGCCTCTGGCATGCAGTTTTTGCAGGTTGAGGGGGTATCAGGGCACCTAAGTCTGGGAAAGGAACAGATCAAGCTCCCTGGTGCTCAGCAACTTCCCAAGGAGGGACCTGGCAGAGACAGGCAGTGGGGCTCTCAGGTCCTCAGTGGCACATGAGGTCTGCAAAGCCCAAGAGCTGCCATCAGTGCCAGAGCCCAGCGTCCACCCCACACCAGAGGCTTCCCACAAAGCCACCGTGAAATGGGATGAGATGGCAAACCCAAGCATCCAGGAGCTGGGAAATGCAAAGTTTGGACCCTACCAGCCTGGGGAAACACCCTATTAACCACATCGGGATGGCAACAGCCGGCACGGCCGCCCGTGTATTCCCAATGTGTTAAAGACAGAAACACTGGGCTTTGTGTTTGAGTTTCTGCTGGATGGAGCAACTGAGGGCGGCCAAAGGGGCACATCCCACGCAGTGTGAGCGGGAAGGGCTCCGGCTTCATCTCCCTGCCACCAAAGAGAGCTGTAGGATCCAGGCAGTTAATTAGCGAGCAGCCGTTCTAGGGACTCACTCCGCCAGCCGACAATTAACGAGGCCATCCCTCTGCTTCCTGCCCGGCCATGATTTATTCATCTGGCATCCCCGGTGGGATGCAAAAGATAACAAGGCACCGAGTGCTTGCCGAGCCCATATGTCAATTTATTTTCCCAGTGCGGGACTGCCTGAGTCACCGGCCAGGAGGTTCCCTGGGCACACAGGGATGAGCAAGGAGCTGAAAGGGCCAGGGAGAGCCTGCCTCAACACTGGGCTGCTCTCCAAAAAGAGCAGGAGCAGCCTCAGTGTTATCACAAGCTGTTTTATCATGGAAGCCACCCCAAAGAAACCTTACCAGCTTCATGCTGACCTGGATCTCGCCAAAGCAACGTGCCACATCTAATTAATACAGGGGCTCCCGGCTCCTTCGGGTGTTTTATTAAACATTATTCCCCAGATGAAGTGCCTAAGGCAGGGAGCTGCTCTGGACCAGTGACACTGGAGCAGGATGTGCTGCAACAGCTTCTCCCAAGCAATTCTGCTGAGCAGACACAGGGAGGGGGAGCTTGTAATTTAAATGCAGGACTGAAGCACATGGCTGCAGCCTTGGTCACAAAGTGAGTGCCAGGTGGGAGAGACTAATCCAGGACTTGGAGCCGGGGTTTTCTCACAGCACCAAGGCAAACTATGGGAATAACTTAATTAAAGGAAAACAGTAAGTAAAACCAGTGGGTTCTAGCTCTGCCAAGCACTTCTGTTTTGTCAAGTTTGTTAATCTCTCCAACTTGCTCTGACTCAGAATTGAACACTTTTTGGAGCTAAATACAAACCATAGAATCATTTGGGTTGGAAAAGACATCTGAGATCATCAAGGCAACCATTAACCCAGCAATGCCAAGTCCCACTAAACCATGTCCCCAAGTGATGCATCTGTACAATGCCCTCGCAGCAGGGCTCGAGACACAGCAAAAGCAGGAAGCAATGACCCCAAACGCATCCAAAACTCACTTGGCATCCAAGGAAAACTATGAGAACTTCCAAGTTTCCTCTACGTCCCTCGAACCACCTCACAACTTAGGGGCCCTCCACCCAAAGTGCACCGTTTCCATGGAATGCCACCCTCCAGCTTGGAGTCGAGCAGCCCAGCTCAGGAGGAACAGGAGATGGAGCACAGTGGGTGGCAGCTGCACCACAGGGATGATGCCACCCACATGACACCCCCCCAGGCTCTCCCGCCAGCCCCAAAGAGGACAGGGAACGCTCCCGCTCCCCCCGGCTGCCCACCTGGGCTGGGGGCTCTCCGGTACTTACTCCCACTCCTTCCTCCGCGCCTGTGGCGTGCTCTGCATCTTGTGTGCCTCGTGTGCCTTGATAATGTCCCTCTGCTCGATCAGCCCGCCCCGCCGGCGCTTGATGACGTCCGGGCTCACGGGCACGTACTGGCCCAGCCCCAGGTCGAAGGCGCTGCCGGTGTCCGCGTCGGCATCCCGGGAGCGGGGCTCGTAGAGGGCGTCAAAGCTGGCAGCCCTCGAGACCAGGGCCTCGGCCAGGCCCTCGGGCTCCAGCAGGTTGCAGGACTGGGTGGTTTGCATCAGGCCGAGCCGGTGCTTTCGCCACGTCTCCTCCTCGGGCAGGGCCAGGACGTAGCGGGGGGAGGCTCCGTCCAGCTCAGCCCCCCTGCCCGGCGCGCCCATGGAGCACGTGCCAAATCCCAGCATCTTGGGTGTTGTTGCGGCTCATCACTCTGGAGGGGAACACGACAGAGAGGACAGGCTCAGGGGTTCGCTCTGTTTGCACCACAATTCCCTCCCTTCCCCCCGTGTCAACCAAAAGTCCCAGTTCTCCAAGGTTTGTTGGGTTAGACCGTCTCCAACCAGGCACAGCACACACACATCACTGGGCCCCCAAGGTTAGGGCAAGGGGTACCACTGCCTGCCTTGGTGCTCTTCTCCTCATCTCTCCCAAACTGGGCACCCCTGCACCTCTTGAACCTGCAGCTCTCTGACCCTGCAGCCAGCTCTCCCTGGAGCAGCAGAGCTTCCCCTAGATGAATCACAGCAAAATTACAGGGGAGGAGCCTTGGGACACCCAGGTGAGATCACCCCTGCACTCCTTCCATTTGGTTGGGTTTTCTCTATGGGGCATGCCTGGCTGGATCATCCATATCCCACTCCAGCCCCACATCCATGGGATGACAGACAGGCAGAGACAGGCAGCACTTCATGAAGCTGGATGTGGAAATATCACTGTGACTTTGAGTCAGGAGCTACACATGGGAGCAAAAGACACAGGAACACTGTCAGGAACACCTTGCCATGTAATTCTCCTTTGCTAAGCAAAGTAGATGATGCCCTATAGACAGGAGATGTTTGTGTCTGAGAATCTACCCAAAGCCTTGCCATGGTGAAACACTGTATTCACACTTTGGAATTGCTCCAGGAAGGCCTTTGCTCCATCAGACCCTGAGATTCCTCTCCCAAGTGTTTGCCTGTGATGGAGGTGAAAGAAGGGACAAGGGAGCTGGGGCTGTTGTCCCCTTCTTAACTACATCCCTGATACAGGAGAAAATAACCCAGCAAGGAAAAGGAGGATTTAAATCCCCCAATAATGCAGCAAGCTGAGCACATCATCACTTTAACCCCTCCTCCAGAACAAACAGGGAGGTGAAAACAGAGGTTGGGATAAAGGCTGGGAAACAGCACACCAGGAGAAAAAAATAATATAGAAAAAAAAAATCAACAGTAACTGAGGGGACAACACAGAGCATGGCCCTTCATCCTCATCAAAATAAGCCTGACATCTCCCTGCTGCAGGGGAAGGAATGGACAGCCCAGGGGAGCATCCTATCTCCTTCAGGTCTGTGGTGATGCACTGTAAGTAGAATGTATCTAAAATCACCCCCAAATTTAAACCTGCCCAGCCCAAGGGATACTCAGCCCTTGGCAAGCTCTCCAGAAAGGAAAAGGCAACTGCCAGCAAGAGCCTCAGCAAATTAATTAGCACATTGATAAGATGAGTTGGCTGCTCCCACTGAAAGCTATAAACAGATCCTTCACTCCACTACTTTGCTTACCCATGCGACTTTTTTTAGGAGCATTAATTACTTTTTCAAGTCAGTTCTGGACACCTTTATAAGATCTCATTTTCCCCAACTTCTGCTTTTCCTTTTCATCTTGCTGTGCTCGTTTTCAACCCTCCCTTGCTAAAGTTTAACTCCTTGTTTTACTCCAGGTTTCCTTGAGGCTTTTTTCCTTTTGTATTTCTGTTTTGGGTGGGTTTGTTTATTTATTTTTTTCTGTAACTGGTGAGATTTTTGTTTTGGTTTTTTGTTTGGTTAGCGTTGTTTTGGTTTTACTTTTCTTTTTTTTTTTCAAAGAACTGTTGTTCTGAGGCCCCGTTCCTTTCCTAAACATTTCCTTGGCAAGGACAGGAGGCGTTCAGGCACACCAAGCATGAACACTCCAGGTTTTCAGCCACGGTGTGGCTGCAGCAGAGCCCTGAGGACAATTAGCCAAGAGCAAATGAGGACACAACCCAAGGGCAGGTCCAGCATCCACACAGAGAGTGGTTCTCCTGATGCCTACCAATGCACCTCCCACCAGGTTGGCTGCTCCAGGGACACTGGTGACTCCCAGGCTTGGAGACAAGCAGGGAAGCTCAAGCAGAGACCTCAAACGAAACACCGAGAAAGTTTGAGGAAATAAATAGAAATAATTAGCTTTGCCTCCGCCTCAGCAAACAGGGCTCACGCTGCCAGCGGAACAAGCCACGTTCCCTCTGGAGAAGTGACAAGGAGAGAAGGGAGGATGCCAGAACATTTTGTGAAGGGAAGCTGACGAGGCTTACGTGCTAACGAGGGTGCTCGTGGGGTACCGAGCACCGACACAGGGGTATCTGCCCGTCCTCTGGCCTCGGGTCCCCTCCTGACATGGAAAACAAACACGCTTTATTTCCACACTAAATCTGAATTGGTGGGGAATAAAACACCACGTTTGCTCATCACGTAATTTGGCTTCTGCGCTGTTTAAATGCCAGCCCTGCCTCTGTCAGCGGGAAACAACTCGGTATGTGCAGGAAATGGACCGTGGACAGAACTGGGACCACGGAGGCAGCCAGCAGCCCAACTTCCGTGCTGGGTTTGCTTAATAACATACAGCTTGAGTGCATATCATAGAATGGCCTGGGTTGCAAAAGACCTTGGAGATCATCTCGTTCCAAACCCTCCGCCATGGATTCCTTTTACTAGACCAGGTTGTTCAGAGCTCCATCTAACCCGGTCGTGAACACTTCCAGGGGTGAGGTAGCCACAATTTCTCTGGGCAATGTATGCCAGTGGCTCACCACCCTCACAGGGAAGAATTCTTTCCCAATATCTAATCTAAATATACTCCCTTTTCAGTTTGAAGCCATTCCCCCCTTTGTCCTGTCACTCCATGCCTCTATAAATAGACTGTATCCATCTTTCTAATAGGCTCCCTTCAGGTATCGGTGCCTCTGAGCCCTTCCAGCTGCAAATCAGTCTTTTCCTGGGAATAAACCCAGGCTGCCACACAGCTCCCTGGTAACAGCTGGACAGAATATGGCTTCACAGCTCCATTAATGACAGTTACTAGTTAAAAAAGCAAAGGAACATAGCATATCTACCTGTATGACCCCCCCTATAGTCCCACATGTGGTTTCCCACAGGTGACCCCAGCTCATACTTGCTGTCCATATCCCTGGTTGCACGACTGGGATGCAGTAAGAGCATAGGACAGACCTGCACAGGACTCCAAGCAGCCTCTGCCACCCCAGCCTCCACAGGACAGGGGGACATTACTGCCCAGCAATGGTACATTTGATGTACCACTGATACAGGAGAGCTAAGGAACCGCTGTGCTGTGACACATCGCAGGCTTTCAACACCTGAAAATGAAGTCTCTGCAGGCTCTTATCTCCCAAACTTCAGTCTCAAAGTAATAAAAGTCAGGAAATTTACTCTTTGCTCCTGCTGCGGAGAAATCATCCAGATAAAACCATGGCCACGGGGCCAAACTGAATTAGAGAGGGGATATTCACCTGCAAACACATGGGCACTTGTGCTTTCACCTGCACGGTTGCTGGGAGCAGAATGACACTCCCAGCTCAGCCCAGGGCATATCTGAGGACACAAACCACCCAGCTGTGTTGACACAGCTGGAACTCAGCCCATCTAATGGGGATCTCATTAGAGAGACTGCATCCAGCATCCCTCCAGCCCCTCCTGCACGGGATTGCCATGGCCAAACAGGGACAGAACAGTGAGCAGCTCTGGCCCCTTACTCTGTACATCAGTGTGGGCTGAAACGGGACACAAGCACCCAAAGGCAGCATCCCACCCCACAAATCACTGAGAAGAGCCTTTTCAAGCACCAGAGCACATGTGATGGAAGAAAAAACAAACAGATCCTCTCTGCAGCATCCTCAAGAGATGCTACACACTGCCAAGAGACCCAGCCCTGTTATCCCAACCCCAGCCGTGTGCCACAGCCAAGGAATGCAGCCCCAGCAGGCAGGAGGCCCTGGAATCTCACAACATACTTCATTTTTTTCCTCTAGCAGCTGATTAACTAATAAAGAGCTGCTGTGAGAAGTGGGTTCCCAGCAGCACCACTGACCTACAAAGAGGAAATTCCTTTTAGGGGTTTTCTCTGCCTGTGTTTGTGTTACAATGGCAGCAATCATGTCTTTAGCCAAGTAACTGTGTATTACCATAATAAGTACACTCAGCACTTAAGGCACTGGGCGAGCCCTTTGCTTCCTTTATCTGAATAAACTTCACCAAAACCACTGGAGTTAAAGCAGAAAGGCTTAATGCTGTGCTGGTCCAGGGGGGGCTGATCTTCCCCAGGCAGCACAAGGGTCCAGCACCACAATGCTGAGCTCCAGCACTGCCATGAGCCCCGGGCGAGCAGGGAGGCAGGGATCCCTCCCTGGAGAGGGAGTAATGGACAAGCCCTGGCTACTGTATATTCAACAGGCAACAAAGCTGCTGGAGTCCTCCAACCGTGGTCCAGCACCCCAGCAGGCTTCCCTGGGGATTTGGGGGATGATTTTGACAGCAGCACCAGAGCAAGACGCTGTTAAATATGTATATAGAATTTATAAGATATTGTGTATATATATATAAAATATAAACCTACATGAGAGCATCTAGGATGCTGCTCCCAAGCATCTTGGGGACACCCCAAGCCAGGCAGGGGTTTTCTGCTTCACCAGCCCACAGGACATGTCTCCTTCCCAAACTTGGCTGTTCTCCCTGGGAACTCACATGCTTAGATATCCTGGCCTAGGTTCCATCCTTCCGGGGGCACAGGGATGCTCCAAATCCATCCCCTGCC